TTTTTCTGCGATCATGGTACTTTCTAGAGTAGAACTGTCAAAGGCTAGTTCACTGGAAGTACTGTTCGTCAGATATTTTTAGAAGGACCGCTGAGACCACATGGGCCAGCTGATGAGCACAATTCTGTCAGTTTTCAGATTGTAACGAGGTCTTTTTTCAGCTGTGGGGGACGTTCCGTGATTCTGTCAATCGCTGTTACATATCATCTCCAATGAAAAATATCGTCCTGACGGGTGTTTCCAACAAAGACGAAATCAAATTTCACGTTTTCAACAAGACCGATGTTAGTTATCAAGTCTGATTGTATTTTAATAACTTTTCTTTTCTCTTTTCTCTTTAAAAGTGGTTTTCCTAATGTACCCATCCTTCGTGGTCAAGGAATCTCTTGGGTGCAACCTAGCCTGAGCACAGCGGTTTGGAACCATTAGCACCTGTTGTATGACTTTATGCTGTGCCAGAATTTTTACGTTTACTGTCCTTTTTTCTGTTATGTTTTTGTTCTTTCCGAGTTCTGGAGCCATTTGCCAGTACCTTCAGCAAAGTCTTTTTTTAGACGACTTCCAGTGTGTGGCGTAACCTTCTGTACCGAGAATCGCATATAGAATGCTAAAAAAATGTGGTCCACCAAAAAGTAAGTGAATGCTCTATTAACTGAAGTGGGTTTCAGGATATGCCATCAGTCGTCATTACATTGGGTATTGGCTGGGATGTACAGGCTGAGAAGAAGTTGAAGGAACAATTACCAAATGTAAGTCTGTGATAGTTGCGATTGTCTTAAACAATCAATGTAATCAAAAAAGCTGTACAACAAACAAGCAAACAAACAAACTAATTCTTTGTTATACTTCTCTACAATTGTAGAGATTATGCTAACAATAGGTCAAGTGAGAGGAGGTAAATAAAAAGCATGCAGAAGACGTTGGAACATAACAGACACGAGGGTTTATAGACGTTTTCAATACTTTGTGATGTTTAGGGTTCGCGATTCTACGGTGCTGATCCAATCTACGAGCAGAACGATAAACTCTATTCTGAAATTGGACAGTATTTTCCGCTGGCCGTTGGTAACGAAACAAAGGTTTCACAAGCCTACGTTATGCCGAAGGAGTTGAAAGGTCAGGCTTTCGAAGTTTTGCTTGACCCTCTTATTTATGAAGCAGAATTTTGGTGTGTCGGTTTGAAAGTTTATCGGTGTGTCGATTTGTATGTTTGCCGGCCTATCCGTCCGCAAACTTTATGATTACGGTAAAGGTAGTGGTATGGAAAACCCAGCTCTATTCTACATTTCCTTCTTATATATAAGCAGGAACTTGGTGGGTAGATTAATGGAATAGAGTGAGTAGGGTGAAGTGAGCTGAGTAATGTGAAGTGGGTACTTCAAAACTGTGATTTTTATCTATACTGGCATCGTGCTATGTATGCCTATACAAAAATCGGAGGTGACAATGTGGCTGAGAGACCTTCTCTTTTTTAGTCTTGAACGTTATAGCGCAGATACGGAGGTGAGCCTATTGAGCTCAGCAACGTTTCTTAGCCGAGAACATGCAGTTTTTTGATCTGAGCTTCAGGATGAAAGGAGCACCGGGGTGGGTGAGTTGCACACCCCAACCCCGGCGCCAACTACATTTTC